GTTCTTTCCCAGCTCGCCAGGTTCAGGTTTCTGGTGAACTGGAGGAAGTCCCATCTGGTTCCGTCCCAGGTTTGGACTTGGCTAGGTCTTGTTTGGGATTTTCGGACCGCTTCCTTGTCTCTCCTGCCAGAGGCGTTGCTGCGGCTGCAGGACCACCGGCGGCTGTTCTTGAGGGGGTCCCGGGTAACTCGGCAGTTGCTCGAGCGGTTGTGTGGGAGTCTGAACTTCGCCGTGCTAGTCTACCCGCCTGGTCAGGTTTGGCTTCGGCGTCTGTTTTGGTTTCTTCGGGGACGTCCCTTCCGCCTCTCTCGTGATCGTTGGTTTCGTCCTCCTGGGACCTTGTGTCGGTTGCTGCGTTGCCGGCTTCCTCTTCAGGGTTTTTGGGGTTCGATGCCTTGGCACCTTCCTGAGCCCTCGCTCGATGTGTTCACGGACGCGTCGTCTCTCGGCTGGGGCTTTGTTACCAGTGCTCATCAGGCAGGCCAGGGACGGTGGGGTTTGTCTTTCCGTCAGGCTCACAGCACAGTTCTGGAGTTTGCGGCAGTATGGTTTGCGCTTCAGAGGGTTTGGGTCGCTAAGGGATCGCTCATTCGCCTCCATTCGGACTGTTCTCCAGTGGTTCATTGCCTGAACAGCGGGGGTTCTCTACGGTCCTTAGCTCTTTGGGGTTGTCCCTTCAAGTGATTCATCTGCTGGATTCTTGGGGTATTTCTCTCTGTGCGGTTCATGTCCGGGGAGTGTCCATTGTTCTTGTGGACGGTCTGTCTAGCTTCAATCTCCTGTCCATGGAATGAACAGTCGACGACGACTCATTTCGTTGGATCTGCCAGATGTACGGTCTTCCAGATGTGGACCTCTTCGCGTCGGCGTGGTCTCGGCATCTCCCAATCTATGTGACGCCCTTTCCAGACTATGAGACGTTTGCGGTGGATGCCTTTCGGCAGAACTAGTCGAGGTGGGGTTACCTGTACCTCTTTCCCCCAGTGCAGCTGTTGCTTCAGGTTCTGGTTCGGTTGGAGACATTCCCAGGAAGAGTAATTCTTGTGGCCCCTTGGTGGCTTGCCCAGCCTTGGTTTCCTTTGCTATTGGCTCGGTGACCGAACCCGGGATGTTTCCTGCGGCTCCGCCTCTTTTAGCAGGTTGGCCCGATCCTGTACAGGGCTGGTTCGACCTTCTCCTCTGCTCTTCGCATCTGGTCTTTTTGACACGGGTGTATCACCATTTCTATGGTGATCAGGTGGCTTTGTTGATGGTGTCCCACCTGAGAGCTTTGTCTCGGCGACAGTATGAAGTTTCCTGGCGTTCATTTTGCCATTTTCTGGCTCTTCGTAGGTTGTCTTTTCTTTCGGAACGGGTTGTCTTGTCCTTTCTTTCTTGGCTTTTTTAGGACCGTCATTTTATGCCTAATACTGTCGCCTCGTATCGTGTGAACGCTGGCAGAGCTAGCGTTTGGGGTGGAGATCACATCCACCTCGTTCCGTAAGCTTTCTCGTGCTATGTTTAACCTCTGGCCTGCTCATGCGCCTCCTGAGCCATCCTGGTCCTTGGACAGGGTGCTCTCCTATCTTTCCTCTCCTCGGTTTGTGGTAGCCCCTTCGGTTCCAGATTGTTTTTCCAAGGCTTTGTTTTTGTTGGCATTTGCCTCTGGGGGCCGGGTAGGGGAGCTTCATGCTCTCCTCTGGGGCAGGGGTTTCTGCTCTTTTGGTCCTGGTGGTAGGTTTGTCTGTTTGCAGCCTTCTCCATCTTTTCTGGCGAAGAACAAGACGCCTGCTTTCTGCAGGGGTCCGTGGGTCAGTGATGCTTGGATAGTTCGGCCAGGGGTGCTTCATGTGTTGTGTCCGGTTGCAGCTCTTTGCCGTTACCTGCAAGTTTCAGCTGGGGGGCTGGGGATGTGCTTTGGTTAATCCGGTTCCCCTCGTTCCCTGTTCCAGGGCTCGGGTCTCCCAGGTTGTCTGCAGGGTTATTAAGTCTAGCCATAGCCAGCCTGTGGTCAATCCTCACGCCCATGACGTTCGGAAGTTTGCAGCTTTGGCTGCCATGTTTGGTAACATGTCTTGGGCTCATATTCATGTGTGTGGATTTTGGAAGTCGAACATGGTCCTGGCTGCACGTTATTTGGTGAACGTCCCTGCTCCTTTGCGTTCTTGTGTTGCTTTGGGTCACAGGTTGCAGCCAGTTGTCTTGACTTCGCGTTGAAGAGTTTGTGGCCACTGTCTCCCGGGTAAGGTCCTTTTTTTCCTTCTCTTTGGGTATGTAGCTCCAGGGAGCCATAAGGGCTTCCCACAGAAAACCAGCGTTGAATGTAATGAAATGCCATTTTCTGGGTGAGCCCCGGAGGCTCCCTGGCAACTCTCCCTCCCATCCGGTCAGCGGGTTTTTTTTTTTCACGTTGGTTGAAGCCTAGTTTCCGAACTGAGCAGCCGGCGCGGTGAAGTCTGGGCCCCCCCCCTCCCCCTCCCGGGTAGGGGAGGGGAGGGCTGCACGAACGACCGGCGCGGCAGTAATTTGATTGTTTGATTGTTTCCTTGAGATTGTAGGAAGTTTCTACTTTTCTGTTTGTTTTTTTGTTTTAGTTTTTTACCATGTGGGGTTTGTTTTGTTATTCCTACCTTTCTGGGTGCCTAACCCCGGACGATGGCAGATAAGGAAAACCCCCAACCACAATGGGGTCTTCCAGGGCCATTGCTCCCTGAAACCTCTCTGAAGGGGCCAGGTTCTGGCGCTGGTCCCTGGTAGGTCTGAACTCCATAGCTAATGTCCCGGTCTAACATAACATACATGAGCCCGATAAGCTGCAGGGAGCCTCTGGGGCTCATCCAGAAAATGGTGTTTCATTACATTCAACGCTGGTTTTTTTCACCTCCGGCCTGCACATGCACCACCTGAGCCATCCTGGTCGTTGGATCGGGTGTTCTCTTTTCTCTCGTCTCCTCAGTTTGTGGTGGCCCCTTCGGTTTAGGATTGTTTTTCTAAGGTTCTTTTCTTGTTGGCTTTGGCCTCTGGGGGTCGGGTTGGGGAGCTTCACGCTCTCCTCCGGCAAAAGGGTTTCTGCTCTTTCGGTCCTGGTGGTCGTTTCGTTCGTTTGCAGCCTTCTTCTTTTCTGGTGAAGAATGAGTCTGCTGCTTTCCGAAGGGGTCCTTGGGTTGTTGATGCTTGGATGGTTCCGCCAAGGGTGCATCATGTTTTGTGTCCGGTTGCGGCTCTTCACCGTTATCTGCGTGCTTCGGCCTCCGTAGTAGGGGACGCGCTTTGGGTCAACCCGGTTTCCCTTCTTCCCTGTTCCAGGGTGCGGGTCTCCCAGGTCGTCTGCAGGATTATTCAGTCCAGCCAGCCTGCAGTCTACCCCCGTACCCACGACGTTCGTAAGTTCGCGGCTTTGGCTGCTGATTTTGGAAATATGTCCTGGGCTGACATTCGGGCACGGGGGCTTTTGGAGGTCGAACAGGGCCCTGGCCGCAAGGTATCTTGTTAATGTTCGTGGCCCTTCTCAGGCATGTGTAGCCGTGGGTCGCAGGTTGCAGCCAGTTGTCTCAACTTCGAGTTGAGGAGCGAGTGATGACCGCCTCCCAGGTAAGTTCCTTTTTTCTTTTTCTTTGGTTAGGTAGCTCCGGGGAGCCGAAGGGGCTCTACACAGAAAACCAGCGTTGAATATAATGAAACACCATTTTCTGGGTGAGACCCGGAGGCTTCCCGGCACCCCTCCCTCCCTCTGGTCGGCATATTTTTTGCGTTTTTGATACTCGGCCTCTGAACTGGGGAGAGTTGCCAGCGCGGAGGTCTAGGACCCCTCCGTCCCCACTCACGGGGAAGGGGGGGGGGTGTTGTGCAGACGGATGCATGGTGTTTGTGGTGACGTCATATTGGTTTCCTTGACTTTGATTGGAGAGTTCTGTTGCTAATTCGGCTTTTGGTTTGCAATTATTTAATCAGCAGTAGTTTTTGGAATTCCTACCTTTCTGGGTGCCTGACCTGGTATATGGCAGACAAAGACTGCTTCCAATTACACGGGGGTGTCTTTAGGCCATTGCTCCTCGTGCCTCTCTTGAGGGGGGCTATATTCTGGCTTTGGTCCCCGGTAGGCCTAGAACTCCTTCGATTGGCTGTTGCCATGGTCTAATATATTCACATCAGCCCGGTATAGCTCAGGGGAATTTCCGGGTCTCATCTAGAAAATGGCCTTTCATTACATTCAACGCTGTTTTTTTTTGTAACTGCTGACGTGTAGCATTGAAACTCTTTACAATTTCCTGCCATGTTATTATTAGAATCACTATCTTAAGTTTCTCTAGTCCCTTCAGAATAGCAGATTCCTCAAATTTGAACTCAGAGTTTAGATGTTCATCTATTGCTAGATCATCCAGTACCATGATACTGTATTCTGCTGCAAGCCATTGGTTAGTGCTTCAACAGCATCCACACAAGCTGATTACCATGTATTTGATAAGCATTTGTGCCAAAGATAGGTTGACTTAATGAAATTAACATACAGCCATTGAATTATACCAAACAGTGTCTGAGCAATGCACATCCCAATGAGATTCAGATAATGAGTCATGCAAGAAACAAACTCTGCGAATTCATGACTTTCTATGTGCAAACGGGTGCCACAGTTAAATGCATGTGATCTAACCCTTTTCTAAAAAAAATTGGTATCCTTAGGGCGCAATACTTCCCCTTCTCAAATCAGTCAGTTGTTCTGAAGTCAGTGACATTCCCTCTTGTTGTGAGGCATACAACAACTATCAGTACACCTGCAACTTTCACTTTGTTATTTTATAGGGTCCTTCCTATTTGCAACACAGTTTCTTTCTCCTTCATAATCAAAACTGAAACTGAAATTGAATCTACTGTATTTTGGATCAGTTTTGGAATTTTGACAAATTTCTACTTTATCTCTTTCCAAATGGTCAGTTGTATGTGTGTTTATTGTGTGTAAATAAATCATGTAAATATGTTCTAATATACAAATTAGTATTCAATTAATAATTTTGTTCTCACAGATTATACAAGAACTTGGCACTCAACCAATGGCTTGGCTGAACCACAATCAACCTGATGTCCAGTATGACCTTCGACTTGCTCGCCCAGGGCGCCATATCCTCCTCATTAACTATTATACTCCAGAAGGTGGCACAACCACAAATGTTGTTGTAGAAACTTCAACTCGCAAGGGTAGAGAAAAGGGAAGAGCTATCCTTTATGACTGCATGTACTCAACATCCTGTCGTCAAGTTGTCACAGATGCAAATGGCAAAGTTGGAATCTTCTATTTTGATAGTAATTTCATTAGCCTCGATATCAAGGTAAGCATAATAAAACACCAGCATTAAATGTAATGAAACACCATTTTCTGGGTGAGCTCCGGAAGCTCCCTGGAGCTTATCAATCTAATGTATATTATATTAGACCGGGACATTAGCTATAGATTTCAGACCTACCAGGGACCATGAGCCAGAACCTGGCCCCTTCAGAAAGGTTTCAGGGAGCAATGGCTCTGGAAGACCCCCCTGTGGTTGGGGTTTTTCCTTATCTACCATCAAGCGGGGTTAGGCACTCAAAAAGGTAGGCATAACAAAACAAACCCCACATTGTAAAAAACTAAAACAAAAAAACGAACAGAGAGGTAGAAACTCTCTACAATCCCAAGGAAACAAGCAAACATCACACTTTACTGCTGCGCCGATCGTCGGCGCAGCCTTCCCCGCCCCGAGAGGAAGAGGGGGGAGCCCCGGACCTACCGCACCGGCTGCCTAGCTTCAGTTCGTAAGCTAATGTCAACTGAGATAGACGCTTCTCTGGCCTCAGTTTCCTACGCTGTGTTTGCCTTGTGTGGTGTTCACTGCCGTGTGTTGTGTTGTGCGGTGGCCAGGAGTACCTCATCAGTGCCGGGGCTGCATGCGCTTAGGGGCTTCCTTTCCTAAGCGCCCTGTGAGTACTGCCCCTGCGTGACAGGGTTATCTTCCCTGGGGCGTTTGGGAACCATTCCTGTAGAGGTTCTTGCTGCTCGGTATTTGCCTCGCCCTTGGGGGCCAGCTGAGGCTTGGGGCCCTTATTTGGCCCTAGGTAGGGACTCGTATTGTGCTGGTTAGGGCATCAAGGTGTTGCGCGACCTGCCACCTAAGAGGCGACTGGTTCCTGTTGCCTCTGGAGACGGTGTACTTTTGCGGGGGTTTTCTTTTGTTTTTATTTTCATTTGCCTGGTTGAGGTCTGTCCAGTGTGGCTATAGTTCCACTGGTAGTGTTTGGTGGCCCTCTGCTAGGCCCCCATGATTGTACACGTTACAGGGGATTTTCAGTGCTATCCTCTACCCTCTTGTTTTTTTTTTGTTTCTTAACCGGTTAGCAACACCTTGCCCGGGCTTCCCATAGCAGTCAGCCTACAGGCCCTGGAAACCCCTGCAGGGCTTGGTGGACCATTGAATGTGTCTTCCGAGTTTCAACCCATCTTGTACGGGATCCTTGGTTGCTGTGCCCTTGTCTCCGGGTAACAGTCGCCACTTTTACCTGCGTCATGTTGCCTGTTGGGTCACTGACACCTTGACCCGGAGTCTTGCGAGAGAGATTCTCTGCTTGTTCTCCAGTACTCTCCTGATGTTATTACTGTTTGAGTACAGGCGGCATCCGTGTTGCAAGATAGGGTAGGTTGCTGCAACATGCTAGGTTGGTTTCCCATTCGGATGCCCCGAGGCCGTCCCGTTTTGGTTAGGTGCTGTTCGCCCCTTTCCCTACCTGTTCCCGGCTCCAGACCGTCTGCGGGGTTTGGGGTCGAGGCGGGGTTTAGTTGGGCCCTAGACTCGGGTGGTTTTCGGGGGCTGACCCATTCGGGTTGGGGACGGAGGTTTTCGAGCCTGTTAATCCTGCCAAGGCTTCTGGGTCTTACCAGCGGCCCTTTCTTGCTGCCTTTCCCATGGACTCTTCCTTTTCTTTAAGGGCGGAGGGCTTGGAGGACAGCTCTGCCCTAGGGCCTCTGTTGCTGGTTCCCGGCTGTGGGGGATGCCTGCTAGTAGTTCTGGGGCGGTTTGCCCCTGCCTGGGTTTTCTGCTTTTGGGCAGAGTTTTTCGCCCATCCAGTCTGCTTGCCTCCCACTTTTGCTGGCATATTTTTGTATCTTTTGCGTCGGTCACAGCCCTCTGTTCTGGTGGCTATTTTCTTCTGCCAGTTTTCCGATGTGGCCATCTGGGCAGCGTTGCGGTTTGTTTACATGCGCCTGGGTGTGCGAGCAAGCGTCTTGGGTGAGTTTTAAACCATTTTTCAGGGGTTTTATTCTCCTGTTGTCGTTTCTTTGCTTTTCTGGTGTTTTCTGCCTGTTTTCTGTTCCTCTGGGAACGTTTGAGTGTTGATTTTACACCGGGTTTTCCATTTTGTCTGTTTTCGGGCTGGGCCCTTGGGTTTGGGCTCAGTGTCCCTGGCTGTTGTGCTTGCTCCCACACCTTGTCCCTCAGTTTTCGGTCTGTTTTGACCGTTTCCCTGGGGGGTTCTGTCTGGGGGCTGTGCTTTGCTTTTCTGTGGTGTATCTCCGCCGGCAAATGTGGTGATTTGGGCTCCCCCTGGTTCAATTCCGGGTACCTTTGGGTTCTTTGGTTTCGTTCCGGAGGTTTCTTCCTCTTGGGCCCCCTTTGTGGTTTCAGGGGGCTTTGTTTCCTCGTGTGTGACCCGGTTCTGCCTTCTGGAGTTCTGGGGTCTTCCTGGCTTGCAGACTGATCTTTTTGGGTTGTAGCACGTGTTGTGGTCGTGCTGGGACTTTGAGGTTTTGTTGTCAAGGTGGGCCTTTTGATGCAGTTTTGTGCCTTCTTCGCCTGGCCAGCGTGGTGCTCTTTGCCCACTGGTCAGTGGCTTGTAATTTTATTTTCATGTGTATGTGTGTGTACACATGTGCATATGTGCACTATGTGTGTGTGTGTGTGTGTGTGCACACATGTATATGTGCATACACATGTGTGTATAACATACCTTGTGTGTATGTGTATATGTATATATATGTGTATATGTATATATATGTATATATATATAATATATACATATATATATATTATATATATGTGTATGTGTCCTTTTTCTTTCGGAAGGGGCTGTGTTCCCTTCTCTGTTGACGGGGCACTGGGGGAGCAGCTTGCTCTGTTGACTCTCTCATGGTCCTGCAGTTAGTGGGCGCTTTTGGTTGTCTTCCGCCTCTGGTGGCTGGAAGACGCGGTTGCCGATGGATGGCGTCTCCCCCTTTGGGGGGTTCAGGGCTGGCGGGGTGGGCTTCTTCCTCTGCGCTTCGTAATGTCATCTTAGTGGGTGCATTGGACGTGGTCGATCCGCCCCATCTTTCTGGGGTTCCCGTCTGCTCTTTGCAGACATGGGCCTGTCGAATCTGCGGTTCTTCTGGACTTCTTCAGTCTGCGCCCTGGATTCTATGCCCTCATCGGAGGACTGTTGTCTCCTGTCCGGCTTCTGTTGGTGCCGAGTGCCTGGATGGTGGCCCTGGACCTCCAGGTCTGTTCTTGGCACGTTCCTCTCCAGTTTTTCAGGACAGTTGGTGGTGGTGCTTCAGGCTTGCCACTTTTGTTGCCTTCCCTATTTTGTAATTGGCACTTGGTGTGTTTTGCATCTTTATCGGATCTTGGTGCCCTGTCTGAGTCTGCTTGGGATTCGGTGTCTGGCCTACCTGGGCGACTGGCTGGTGTGGGCTGCCAGTTGGTCTGCTTGTCTGCTCGCCAGGGGTGTGGTTCTTTCCAGATCGAAGGGTTTCGTTTCCTGGTGATCTGGAGGCCATTCCATCTGTTTCTGTTCTGGGTTCAGACCTGGCTGGGCCTTGTTTAGGGCTCTAGGGCTGCTCCTTGTCTTTCCCTCCAGAAGTGTTGCTGCGGCTGTGGTCCCGCCTTCGGCTGTTCATGAGGGGGTCCCGGGTTGCTCAGCAGTTGCTCGAGCAGTTGTGCGCGAGTCTGAACTTCGACATGCTGGTCTGCCTGCGGGATCAGGTTTGGCTTCGGCGTCTGTTTGGGTCCTTCGGAGATTCCCCTTCCGCCTCTCTTGCAATCATTGGGTTCGTTCCTCCGGGGATCTTGTGTTGGTGCTGCGTCACCAGCTTCCTCTTTGGGGTTTCGGGGTTCCATGCCTTGGCACCTCCCCGAGCCTTCGCTCGATGTGTTCATGAACGAGTCATCTTTTGGCTGGGGCTTTGTGACCAGTGCTCACCAGGTCGGCTGGGGATGGTGGGGTCTGTCTGTCCATCGGGCTCACAGCACGGTTTGGGAGTTCGTGGCTGTTTGGTTTGCGCTTCGGAGGGTTTGGGTCACTCGGTGCTCTACCATTCAGCTCCATTCGGACTGTTCTCTGGCGGTTCTTTGCTGGAACCACAGGGTTTCTCTTTGGTGTTGACCTTTGGGGTTGGTTCCTTAGAGTGGCTCATTAGCTGGACTCTCGGGGTTTGGCTAACCGTGAGGTTCATGTCTGGGGGTGTGTCCTGCGTCCTGGCGGACAGCTGTCTCGGTTCATTCCTCTGTTCGCAGATTGGCCAGTCGTCGCCGACTCGTATCATTGGCTCTGCCAAATGTATGGACTCCTGGCCATGGATGTCTTCGAGTTGGCGTGGTCTAGGCATTGCCCATTTTATGTGGCGCTCTTACCTGCCTGCGAGGTAAGAGTCCAGTCCTGCCGATGCCTTTCGGCAGGACCAGTCGAGGTTGGGGTACCTGTTCTTCTTTTCCCGGTGCAACTGTTGCTTCGAGTTCTGGCTCGGTTGGAGCCCATTCCCACGAGAATAGTCCTTATGGTTCTTTGGTGGCCGGCCCAGCTTTATTTTCAGACGCTGCTTGATAGGTGTCAGAACCTGGGACGTTTTCCCGTGGCTCCGCCTCTTTCGGCAGGTCGGATCGGTCCTGTACGTGACTGCTTCGGCCTTCTCCTCGGCTCTTCGCGTCTGGTATTTTGACGCTGGTATTCACCATCACTGAGGTGATCAGGTGACTTGTTGATGGTGTCCCACCTGCGAGCTTCGTCTTAGCGACAGTATGACGTTCCTGGTGTTTCTATGCACTTTTTCTTACTCTTCGTAGGTTGTCTTCTCTTTCACATCGGGTTGTCTTGTCTTTTCTTGGGTTTTCAGGACTACAGTTATTTGATGTTTCTTACTGTCGCCTCGTTTTGTGCGGAGCTGATGGAGCCACTCTGGCTTGCATTCGGGGTGGACGTCACATCTGCCCCATTTCGTACACTTTCTCGTGTTTTGTTTCACCTCCGGCCTGCTCATGCATCGCCTGAGCCATCCTGGTCCTTGATGAGGATGTCTTCTTATCTTCTCCTCAGTTTGTGGTAGCCCCTTCGGTTCAGGTTTCTGTTCTTTGGTACTGGTGGTTGGTTTGTACGTTTGCAGCCTTTCTCCGTCCTGACCGGTCGAGACGGCTGTTTTCCGGAGGGGTTCTTGGGTTATTGATGCTTGATTGGTTTAGCCAGGGGTGCGTCCTGTGTTGTCTGGTTGCGTTTTTTGCCGTTACCTGCGTACCGTGTCTGATGATGCACTTTGGGTTGATCCGGTTCTCCTCTTTCCCTGTTTCAGGGCTCGCGTCTTCCAGGTCGTACGCAGAGTTTTTCAGTCTTCCAGCCTACGGTCTTTCCTTGTGCCCGTGCTGTTCGGACGTTTGCAGCTTTTGCTGCTGTGTTGGTGACGTCTAGGGCTCATTTCGGACGCAGGGATTTGAGGGTCGCACAGGTTCTTGGCTGCCCATTCTTTATGCATGTTTACTAATGTGCGTTCTTGTTGCCTTGGGTTGCAGGTTGCAGCCTGTTGTCTCGGCTTCGCATTGCGGAGTTTGTGGTGGCCACCTCCCGGGTTAACCCTTTCTTTTCCTTCTCTTTGGGTATGAAGCTCCAGGGAGTCGTAGGGGCTCCTCAAAGAAAACGAGCGTTGAATGTAATGAAACGCCATTTTCTGGGTGAGCCCCAGAGGCTCCCTGGCAACCCTTCCTCCCACCGGTCGGCGTTTTTTTCACATTGGTTGCAGCTTAGCTTCCGAACTGAAGCTAGACAGTATTTAGTAAACAGTTGATTGAAAGTTGAGAGGCAGGCCGAAAGAGCAAAGCTCAACCCTCGCAAACACAACTAGGTGAATAGGCAGCCGGCGTGGTAGATCCGGGGCTCCCCCCTTTCCCTCTTGGGGCGGGTAGGGCTGCGCGGACGATCGGTGTCGCTGTAAAGTGTGATGTTTGCGTGTTTGTGTTTCCTTGGCATTGTAGGGAGTTTCTACCTCACTGTTCGTTTTTTCATTTTAGTTTTTTACCATGTGGGTTTGTTTTGCTATGCCTACTTTTCTGGGTGCCTAACCCCAGTCGATGGCATTTAAGGAAAATTCCAACCACAAGGGGGTTTTCCAGGGCCATTGCTCCCTGAAACCTCTCTGAAGGGGCCAGAGGTAAGCATAGCAACAATTTTATATTAAGAATTATATTAAGAATTTTTTATATACTGTATTATACTTCTGCTAGGGGTTTGGGACCTGGCCTACCTCAACGACTGGCTGGTGTGGGCTCCCAGTCGGTCTGCTTGTCTGCTCTCCAAGGTCGTGGTTCTTTTCCCCTCCTCATTGGGTTCAGGTTTCTGGTGAACTGGGGAAGTTCGCATTTGGTTCCATCTCAGGTTCGGACATGGCTGGGTCTTGTTTGTGACTCTTGGACCGTTTCCATGTTACTCCCTCCGGAGACGTTGCTGTGGCTGCGGTCTCGCCTTCAGGTGTTTCTGGGGCGTCCTGGGTCACTCAACGGAGTCTGAACTTCGCCATGCTGGTCTACCTGCTGGGTCGGGTTTGGTTTCAGCGTCTGTTCTGGTTCCTTCAGGGACACCCCTTCCACCACTCTTGCGATTTCTGGGTTCATCCTCTGGGGGCTTTACGTCGGTGGCTGTGTTGCTGGCTTCCTCTTCGGGTTTTTTGGGGGGTTCAGTGCCATGGCGTCTACCCTAGCCCTTGCTAAATGAGATCATGGACATGTCATCTCTTGGCTTGGATTTTGTGACCAGTGCTCACCAGGCCAGCCAGGGGCGATGGGGTCTGTCTTTCCCTTGGGCTCACAGCACAGTGCAAGAATTTGTGGCAGTTTGGCTGTTGCTTTGGAGGGTTGGGGTTGCTCGGGGTTCAACCATCCGGCTCCATTTGGACTGTTCTCCGGTGGTTCATTAGCTGAACTGTGGGGGTTTTCTTTGGTCCTTGCCCCTTTGGGGCTGGTCTCTTCGAATGGCTTGTCTGCTGGCTTCTCGGAGTTTGGCTCGCTGTGCTGGTCATAACCGGGGTGTGTTCAATGGCCTGTTATGGTTCAATCCCCTGTCCATGGAATGGATAGGCGATGCTGACTCCCTCCTTCTGTTGGCTCTGTAGGATGTACGGGTTTCCAGATGTGGATGTCTTCGTGTTGGCGTGGTCTCAGCATCTCCCGTTGTATGTTGAGCTCTTCCCCAACTGCGAGGCTGTCTCAGTGGACACTTTTCAACATGACTGGTCTTGTCAAGGTGGTCTTACCTGCACCTCTTTCCTCGGTTCTAGCTTGGTTGAAGTGCTACCATCTGGTATAAGTTATACAACCTGGAATTCTACTGAATTGGCAGGAAGTCTGGAGGCCTCTCCTAAAGCCATTCCAAGTTGTAATATAACCCCCAGTCACCCAGGTGATGGTAAATTAGGTCAACACTGTACACCCTAAAATCAATTACATAGAGAAATCACACTAGTGTGATACATGGTAAATTATTTAAAAATTTGTTTAGGAGGTAAGTTTTAAGATAATTTCATAACATTACTGTATATGTAGTAGAAGATTTATAGACTTCTTTGATAGAAATAGCAATACTTCATTCCCCCTTTTGAGTTCCTCAATAATATATCTTAATATTGTATCTATTAGTATAACAATTTACATTAATCATTAGATTAACATTTTTATAAATTTTCAGGGAGAAACCAATACAAACATTGGAATTGATTCCATTGTTGCAGTACCATATGAATATTGGCATCAAGACTTGGTGCGTCCACAGCTAGTCTGTACCCGTTTGGGTGGCCAGTGCTTGGAGACTTCATATCCACTTTCTCCTGAGACTACAAAAGTAAATATATACTACTTAACTTCCAAAATGTACAATTAAATTTGTACAACTTTCCTACTTTTCCCACCCCCCCTTACACACAAAACAAAAATTAAGAAATATCTTACATGTGTGAATGACAAACACCCAAATGAAAATGCTCTGTGTACCACAATTTAGCTGTAGTGGAGTTGCAAATCAGGATCACACAGGATCACAAGTCTTGTGGTCCTGGGTTCGATCCCAAGCGCCGGCGAGAAACAATGGGCAGAGTTTCTTTCACCCTATGCCCCTGTTACCTAGCAGTAAAATAGGTACCTGGGTGTTAGTCAGCTGTCACGGGCTGCTTCCTGGGGGTGGAGGCCTGGTCGAGGACCAGGCCGCGGGGACACTAAAAAGCCTCGAAATCATCTCAAGATAACCTCAAGACACTAAAGGCATAATTTAAATTAATGTCCATGGGGACATTAACATTTTCGCGCTCCGTGGAAACTCGCGGTTGACAGGGGGTAGGTAGCCCCTCCGTGTGGGTAAGCGCGCGGTGACACCCAAATGTGTATACTCGTTCCAGCTTTCTCACCTTAATTCTCGTGCTACGTTGCTCGTTTTGGTATCATTGTGTTCGCAATTAAATTCTCTACAGGTGTGTATAAATATAATGTCCAAAAGCCTAGCGTGACTCCCAACAGCAAAGCGTAAAGTCGGCAAAAACGCACAAAATCAGTAACATGTGCATTCTCGTTCCATTTTTTTTACCCTAATTCTCGTGCTACGTCGCTCGTTTTGGTATCATTGTGTTCGCAATTAAATTCCCTACAGATGTGTATGAATAAAATGTACAAAAGGCTGGAGTGCCACCCCGCAGAAAAGCCTAAAGTTACCCGTGAACGAGCACCATTTTGTACATTGCAACCTAATGTTCAACTCGTTCAATTTGATAACATCAAATTTCGTGCTACGTCGCTCATTCTGGTATCAAATTGTTCGCAATAAAAAGGCGATTATTTTAAAACTAGTCCCAGAATAATAGAGCAATAACTGGATTTTTAACAAATATTTTAATTCTGGACGCTCATCATCACAAATTTATTTATATCTTTCCAGTGTTCTGACATAAATATTTGTGTTACATCTTTCATTTTGGTATCAAATTGTTCGCAATAAAAAGGCGCACATTTTAAAACAAGTCCCAAGATAATAGGACAATAAATAGAATTTTAACAAATATTTTAATATTCGGACCATAGGCCTATTTATAATATTTCAAGTGTTTGGACATCAAGTTTCATGTTATATCTTTGATTTTGGTATCAAATTGTGTGCAATCTAAAGGCGCTTATTTTAAAACCACTACCAGATTGATCTGATAAAATTTAAATTTTTAAAAAATATTTTAATGAGTGACTCAGTATTGCGTCGTTGGAACCCATTCAGTAGAAAAATGAGTGACGAGATAGTCAGTCTGTGGAACGCGAAAGTGTTAAATTATGCCTATTTAATCGAACCATATTTATGTGCACCCACATTGCCCCCTCTCCTTTGTACTAACTGTTCCCCATTATACATATCTCATGTATTATTTTCATTTCCTGTATTAACTGTACTCACTGTATACATTTAACCACCCTTTTTGTTTAGGAAGTAATGTTGGCCTTGGGAATACTTTACTCAAGTGCCCTGATGTGATAAAGCTACAGTTCTAAAGCAGATAGTTACAATATAATTCATTTCATGTAATTTTGAAAGAGTTTATATTGTAGCATTTGCATATTTCTTCTAATGCTTTAGGTTGAGTTTGAATCCAATTTGGAAGGAAAAGTGGCTACAGAAGTACCTGATGGTATTGCCAATGGTACTGGTCTTGTTTACCTTAACCACAGTGACCCGATGGTTGACATTGTTGGCAAGTTGAGGTCTGCTGGAAAATATGTGTTTGTTGTTCACTACTATCAACCTCAGTACACAGGTGGGAATGACTTGCACTTTATTTATACATATACAGTTTCAAATAACAAATAAAATGGCAGAATTTATTATAATTTATTCTAAACAAATTGAAATTTGCCAATATACATAGTCCTAACTTGTATAAAAAGTTAATGTTTTCTATTTATGTAGCAAAAAGTAAACATAATCTTGGTATTAATAATAAGTTATTAATATATTCTAAATATTTTGTTTATTCTGGTATTCAAATTACCCTGTGCATTCTGGTATTCAATATACCTTGTGCATTCTGGAATTCAAAATACCCTGTGCATTCTGGTATTAAATACCTTGTGCATTCTGGTATTCAAAATACCCTGTGAATTCTGGTATTCAAAATACCTTGTTCATTCTGGTATTCAAAATGCCTTGGGCATTCTGGTATTCAAAAATCCTTGTGCATTCTGATATTCAAAAAACCTTGTGCATTCTGGTATTCAAAAAAACCTTGTGCATTCTGATATTCAAAAAACCTTGTGCATTCTGGTATTCAAAAACTAACGTTGAATGTAATGAAACGCCATTTTCTGGGCGAGTCCCGGAGGCTTCTCGGAGCTTACTAGGCTGATATGCTAATGTCAGACTTTGGCATCAGTCATGTGTATGGAGTTCTTATGGGCCTACTGGGGACCACGAGCCAGAATCTGGCCCCCTTTAGAGTGGCAAGGGGAGCAATGGCCTATAGAAACCCCCCCCCGTGTGATTGGAAGTTGAATGTCTGCCATCGACTGGGTTAGGCACACAGACAGGTAGGCATCCCAAAACAAACCCCTATTCTGGTGAAAATTGCAACCAAAAGCCGAACGAGTGGATAGAACTCCCCAAACAAAAACGAGCAAACTAGTATGATGTCACCCGTCGTCACGCCGCTGTCTGCGCAGCTCTCCCCTCCTTGGGAGGGGGAAGGGGTAGCCCCAGACCCACCGCATCGGTGACCCACACCCTAGTTCTGAGGCTGGATGTCAAAACATGCGAAAAATACGCCGATCGGAGGGAGGGAGGGATGCTGGGGAGCCTCCGGGACTCACCCAGAAAATAACATTTCATTACATTCAACGCTGGTTTTCTGGGGGAAGCCCCTATGGCTTCCCAGAGCTAACTACCCACAGAGGAAAAGAATAGGGACTTACCCGGGAGACGATTGCTGCTCACTCCTCAACCCAAAGTCGAGACATCTGGCTGCATCCGCTGACCCAAAGCGACACAGGCTCGACTGGGCCCAGGAACATTTACAAGGTAACGAGCAGCCAGGAACCTGTTCGACCGCCAAAATCTCCCGTGGCCGAATGTCAGCCCAGGACATATTGCCAAAGACGGTGGCAAGAGCCGTGAACTTGCGGACGTCATGGGCACGGGGATAGACTGCAGGCTGGCTAGCCTTAATAACCCTGCGGATGACCTGGGAGACCTGCACCCTCGAACAGGGAAGAAGGGAAACCGGATCAACCCAAAGCGCGTCCATGGACACAGAAGCCGTGGCGCACAAATAACAGTGGAAAGCTGCAACTGGACATAAAACATGATACACTCCCGGCCTAACCAGCCAAGCATCAACAACTCAGGGACCCCTCCGGAAAGCAGAAGTCTCATTCTTTGCCAGAAAAGAAGGAGAAGGTTGCAAACGGACAAACCCATCTCCCCCGACCAAAGGAGCAGAAACCTCTACGCTGGAGGAGAACATGAAGCTCACCAACCCGACCCCCAGAGGCCAATGCCAACAGGAAAAGAGCCTTCGAAAAAGAATCCGGAATCGAAGGGGCCACAACAAAATGAGGGGAAGAAAGAAAAGAGAGCACTCTGTCCAAAGACCAGGACGGCTCAAGCGGCACATGAGCAGGCCGGAGGTGAAACAATGCCTCAGACAGCTTGTGAAAGGGCGCAAAAGTGACATCAATACCGAAAGCAAACTGAAGCAGCTCCGCCAGCGCTGCACGATATAAGGCGACAGTGTTAGGCATAAGGAGACGGTCCTGGAACAACCAAGAGAGAAAGGACAACACCACCCTAACAGAAAGCGAAGTACAACGACGAACAACAGAAGGGGAAGGACTAGGAGGTGCAGACTGAACCAGGGTCGAAGCGACCCCAACCCCTAAGTCTGGGTCCCTATAGGCAAAACGGGGCAACTGCGGGGCATCCGGGTGAGCAACCAACCGAGCGCATTGCAGCAAACGAAACCTAGAATGCAATGCCTACGCAGCCTATACCCGAAGATGATCATCCACAGATTGAGTAAATTGAGTCACCAGCAAGCAGCAATACTCACAGAACTCAGGGTCGAAAATGTCATCGACCCAACAGGCTGCGTGATGGAGGCAAAAACAGTGAGGGTCGCCCTAAGACAAGGGGACCAAACAACCCTCAAACTTGCATGAAGCGAGGAGGGACTGCGGCGTCACATCCATCGGACCCATGCGTCCCCCTAGGGGATCCCCAGGATCCTGAGCATTTACTTGAAGAGAACTCGAGCTTAGGTAAACCCAGGCAGGGTACTGCTAACTGTTGCCCAAAACTACCAAACAAACTGTCTAAAACTGAACCCCAGGGACGTGTACACTCACGGGGACCAAGCAGGAGGCACCACCAAGTATCAGGGTGAGGCCAAACACCAGTGGCAAATAGAGCAGAACCCCCACTAAGGCAAAAAGAAAAAGAAAATCCCACAAGAGGACAACGTACCCCAAGGAACAGAGCCAGCCGCTGTGATAGGTGACAACAAGCTGCACAACACCCTGCGCCCATTACCAGTGCAAAAACTACCTCTTATCCTAAGGTAAACTAGGGAGACAAAACTCCCAAGTACCCAAAGGGCAGCCAAAAAACCAAGCAGTTAAATGAACCCACAGAGGCAGACCCCTAGGAACTTGTGGAAGGTAACCCCAAGCTCCAAGGGCAGTACTTACAAGGCACCTAGGGAAGGGAACCCTAGGCACATGCAGCCCGAGTACTGAAGAATAACTCCTGGCTCTCGCACCCCTGGAGTACAACTGCCACACACAAGGCACAGCGCTGCAAAAAGATTGGAGCCAGAGCACACAACCGAGCCGATAGCATCAACCTCAAGAACTGGGGTGTGGATCGCCGGCACAGTGGGTCTGGGGCTACCCCTTCTCCCTCCCAGGGAGGGGGGAGCTGAGCAGACAGCGGCGTGACAATGGGTGACGTCATACTAGTTTGCTCATTTTTGTTTGGGGAGTTCTATCCACTCATTCGACTTTTGGTTGCAATTTTCACCATAATAGGGGTTTATTTTTGAATGCCTACCTTTCTGGGTGCCTAACCCAGTCAATGGCAGACATAGAATGCTTCCAATCACACGGGGGTTTCTATAGGCCATTGCTCCCCTTGCCTCTCTAGAGGGGGCCAGGTTCTGGCTTGTGGTCCCCAGTAGGCCCATAAGAACTCCATACACATGACTGATGCCAAAGTCTGACATTAGCATATCAGCCTAGTAAGCTCCGAGGAGTCATAGGGGCTCCCCTCAGAAAACGTTGTGCATTCTGGTATTCAAAAAACCTTGTGAATTCTGGTATTCAAAAAACCTTGTGCATTCTGGTATTCAAAAAACCTTGTGCATTCTGGTATTCTGGTGCATCCATTCATATCCCCTTTGTGAAGGGAGCAAGTTTTGGCCTGTGGTATCTGGTAAGATTTTATAGATTCACAAAGACCGAGTTAAGATTTGAATTGTGTGAAACTAACTAGGAGATAAGCAACAGGAACCCACTGAAGGACCCACCAGAAAGATGCATTTCATTACAGTCACTGCTGGTTTTATGTATCTTGCTTCATTCCCCCACATTTATTTTGTTTTCTGTTCCTCCTACAAATAAAACAAATGTAAATTTAAAGCGTAATTCAGTCCAAATTTCAGGCACTAACTTCATTGTCAAAATTTTATTTGTAATTCTGTGTATCTATGGAAGAATACCTCTCTATATGATTTTTGTTTGTAAATATATTTGTTAACATTTTAACTTACTTACTAAAAAAAGCTTAAAAAACCTAATACTTTTAAGAACTGCTTGTAGTGGTGACTCAGATATGACAAATTGTGCACTCCTAGTGTTAAGCAAGAGTAATATAAATAAATGTTTGCAACGTAACAGCAAATATGAATTGGTAATTTGCAGTGATTGAACCCCATGCAGAGATACCATATGTTAAATGGGAATAGAATAGTGAGTAGTATAGTGAAAGGAGAGCAGATTGGGGAACATACTATCTGATTTTAGAGAGTATACTGACAGTTTCTAAGGGGAGCCCCTACGGCTCCCCTCCCTGTTCCCAGCTCCTGACCGTCTGAGGGTTTCGGAGTTGGGGCGGGGTTTAGTTGGTGCCGAGACTCAGGCGGCTTCGGGGGCTGCCCCGTTCGGGTTGGGGACAGAGGTTTTCGAGCCTGATCCTCCTGCCGAGGCTTCTGTGTCTTACCAGCAGCCATTTGTTTGCTGCCTTTCCTCTGGACCTTCCTTTTCTTTAAAGGCAGAGGGCGTAGTGGACGGCTTTGCCCCGGGGCCTTCTGTTGCCGGTTCCTAGGGCTGTGGGGCATGCCTGCTAGCAGTTCTGGGGCTGTTTGCCCCTGCCTGGGTTTTCTGCTTCTGGGCAGGTTTTTTTGTCCCTCTCGTCTGCTTACTTCCCACATTTGCTGGCATGTTTTCAGATCTGTTGTGTCAGTCACGGCTCTTTGTTCTGGTGGTTATTTTCTTTTCTGCAGGTTTCCCCGCTTGGCGACCAGGGTGGCGCTGCAATTTGTTTACCTATGTCTGGGTGTGCAAGCTTGCGTTTTGGGTGAGTTTTTCACCTCCTTCAGGGGTTTTATCCTCCTGTTACCGTTTCTTTGCTTTTCTGGGGTGTTCTGCCCGTCTTCTGTTTCTTTGGGAACGCTTAGGTGTTGGTTTTTACACTGGTTTTTGTGTTTTCTGTCTGTTTGGGTCTGGGCCCTAGGGTTTGAGCTCAGTGTCCCTGTCTGTTTATGCTTGCTCCGACACCTTGTTCTTCGGTTTTCGGACCATTTTGGCCATTTCCCTGGGGGGTTCTGTTTGGGTGCTGTGCTTTGCCCTTTCTGTGGTGTATTTCCACTGGCAAATGTGGTAGTTTGGGCTCCCCTGGGTTCGATTCCAGGTTCCTTGGGGGTTCTTTGGTTTCGTTCCAGAGGTTTCTTCCTCTTGGGCCCTCTTTTGTGGGTTCAGGGGGCTTTGTTAGCTCGTGTGTGACCTGTTTCTTCCTTCTGGGGTTTCGGGGTCTTACAGGCTTGCAGGCAAATCTTTTGGGTCTTGGCATGTGTTGTGGTCATGCCAGGGCCTTGGGGTTTTGTTGTCGAGGTGGACCTTTTGGTGCAATTTTTATGCTCTCTTGGTATCTTCTATGTCTGGCCGGCGTTGTGCTCTCTGTCTACCAGTTGGCAGCTTGACTTTTTCTTTCTTTCTTTATTTTTATTTTCATTTGTATGTATATATGTTTTATACATTTTGTATATGTATATGTATGTGTATATATGTATAAATGTGTATGTATGTTTGTGTGTACAGTACAACCTTGATTCAACATACCCCGATTCAACGAATCTTTGGCTAGTTTGCACACTTTTCAGGCTGATTTACTCACCCAGTTAGACGAACAATGGTTCGCCAAAGTGGGGGATGTTTGGATTTGCTTACGATGTTGAGACAGAGTTCACAGACTGGTGGAAAACTTTCCCATTTAATCACAGGTTACAATTAATAATTCCTTCATATGACAAGTTGGATCACACAAGTGGACCACACATATGGACCACAAAAGGGGACCACACATGTGGGCCACACAAGGGGACCATACATGTGGGCCACGCAAGTGAACCACAAGTGGTCCACAAGCTTACGATGTTGGGACAGAGTTCACAGAGTGGTGGGAAAACTGTCTCATTCTATCACAGATTACAATTAATAATTCCTTCATAAGACAAGTTGGATCACACAAGTGGACCACACATCAAGTGAACCATATGAACCAAACACCAGCCAGAGTGGTCCATTCAAGTGAACGATTGAGTTTCCATGATTTTTGTTCACTGATTTGTGGCACACGTGTCTTTTTAAATTAATTTAAAGGCTGAAGCTTGAATACCTAGCTAATGTGTTGAAATCTAATTATATACATTTTCTGTGATGAAACAAGATGAGTGAGAGTGGACAGATAAGGAAATACTGTACAGTAAACCTCACTTTACAGTGAGGTTTCACTCACTTTCATCTGTGTTGTCAGAGTTCAGTGACCCATGACTTTGAATGTTTCAGATTAATAAGTCATTTCTAAAACTGGTGTTTTAATAACTCTTTATTATCCTAATTAAACTAAACTAAATAAAAACAAAAATATACTGTAATATGATAGATATCTGCTATTTGAGAAATTATTCATGTTATTGGCGGCACAATTGCAGCGCGAGTGGACGGGTCTAATCCGTGTGCACACAATACCATGTGTGTTTTGTTCGATTTCATCGCCACAGTTCTGTGACCTACGACTTCAAAATAGTCTGCATTCATAAAGTAGACACCCAATGCCTTTAGCCTTGTCTGCGATTGCGATCCAGGGATCCCATCACAATGGTTGTATTCTTCAAGTAACTTGTGTTGTCCTGTCTTGAGTACTGCTTAGTATTCACTTTCCCCTTCAGAGCAGGAGAGATTGCTGAAATAGAGGGAATACAGAGAACATATATATATGGCACGCATAGACGCGATAAAGCACCTAAATTATTGGGATCGTCTCAAAGCTCTCCAAATGTTCACACTAGAAAAGAGACGAGAGGGATACCAAATACTGTAACCCCGCGATTATCCGGGATTCAAACATCTGGAAAACGCCCTTATACGGCCAAAATCGTGATCGGATAAAGTTATCACAATATCCGGCCAAAATGGCCACAGGAACCGGATAAAAGCTGGTTTGGCCGGATGAATATTCGGCCATACCGTATTAATCCCGTCTGGCTCTAGACGCATGGTGGAGGAGGGGGTGGGGTGGGTGGGTGGTTTTGGGAGGGTGGGAGGGGTGCATCGGAAGGGACCACCTGGGTACAGGAATTACCATTAATTTTAGAACACTTAATCATAGCCAAAAACAAATTAAATAAGTACTAGTAATTATGTATTAACAAATAAATAAGTTTCCTAAAAGTAATGTGCACAGGCTGAAGTTTCCTTCAAAAATATTGTGAGTTTTTTTTCCTCCTGGCGGACTACGTAACGTGCTATAGCTGCCCCACCCCAAGTGGACCCGTCCAACACTGGTCAACCCATGTGCATCCGTCCCTCGTGTTATACACAGTGCTGCGCCATTAGTGAAATATTTTTTTAAATAACTTTTTTATTTTCATAGTAACTTTGAATATTTTTGGCCAAGACTATGTCTGGTAGCAGCATCAATCATTCTGGAGGTGTTAAGAGGAAGAAGGTTGTCCTAGCAATTAAAGACAAGTTATGTGTTGTTCAACCAGTGAGGCGCCACAGGCAAGCCAAGCGCCTTCAACAAGTGAGGCGCAAGCAAGCAAGCGCCTTCAACAAGCGAGGCGTCACAAGCAAGCCAAATGCCTTCAACAAGTGAGGCTTCACAGGCAAGCTAAGCGCCTTCAACAAGTGAGGACATGCAAGCGCTTCAACAAGTGAGGTGCAAGCAAGCGCCTTCAACAAGCGAGGCCTCACAGGCAACCCAAATGCCTTCAACCAGTGAGGCTTCAGCAGCTGGCAGTCAAAACTAACTTTGCTTAATGAACTGTACAGTAATTTTAAGTGTTGTGTTAGTATAGGTTACGTAAATTGTTAAGAATTCTTAACTTCAAGATGTGTGGCATCAATCAAGAAGACGAACACCAACAAGGTAAGTTGAGGTTTCTAGTTGAATATTTAATAATTATATGTGGCAAGGCAATTCAAATTATGTTGTTTGTAGTATAAAAGTAGTTGGAATTTGTCGCTTTTGGACTCGTAGGTGAAAAAGTACCATTATCCGAAAAATGTGATAATCCGGCTGGGGGTCCTTCCCATATAGTCCGTATGATCGAGTGGAGACAGTAATATACACACGGAAAATACTGGAGGGCCAGGTCCCAAATCTACAGAGTAAAATAACAACATACTGGAGTGGAATGATATGGAAGAAAATGCAGAATAGAACCAGTGAAGAGCAGAGGTGTCATAGGCACAATCAGAGAACACTGTATAAACATTAGAGGTCCGTGGTTGTTCGATGTCCTCCCAGTAACTATAAAAAATATTGCCAGTGGACAATATGGACATCTTCAAGAGAAAAGTAGACTGTTTTCTAATAAACATGCCGGACCAGCCAGACTGTGGTGGGTATGAGGGTCTGCAGGCCGCTCGAAGCAACAGCCTGGTTGACCAAACTTTCACAAGCTTGAGGCTTGGGGAGTAGAAGAACTCTCAGAACCCCATCAAGCAGGTATCAAACAGATTGATGTATTTATCCGCTGGTGGAAGAATAATTGTGGAATTTACCATTGTTTTTACCACAGCTGTATTATTATACAACAAAATATCTCAGGAGCTTACTAATAGGGCCTTATTAATGCCAAAACTGAAGCAATATTTTGCAAGAACTAGCTGCAGAAAATCAACCAGCTCGAGCACAGCCGTATCAAACCTGAGCACAGCTGTACCCAGCACGAGCACAGCAGTACCCAGCATGAGCACAGCCGTACCCAGCATGAGCACAGTCATACCCAGCACGAGCACAGCCATACCCAGCACGAGCACAGCCATACCCAGCAAGATCACAGCCGTACCCAGCACGAGCACAGCTGTACCCAGCACGAGCACAGCAGTACCCAGCATGAGCACAGCCGTACCCAGCATGAGCACAGTCATACCCAGCACGAGCACAGCCATACCCAGCACGAGCACAGCCATACCCAGCATGATCACAGCCATACCCAGCACTAGTACAACAGCAGCCGGCACCAACTCAGAAGCAGTTGAAGCAAACACAGCAGCAGCAAGCACCAGCAAAGCTGATGCCAACATCTAAGAACATCGTGTGTGGAGTGTACAGTTTGAATGAGTGTTATATTTAAGTACATAGTGTTAGTGTTAAAATTAAGGTTGCAGTACAGAAATTTTAGTGTAAAATAGTTTTCATAAACTGTTTTGAAGTACTTAAGATACAGCAGAACTACTCATCAATACAGTGCTAACGGCATAATACAGTACTGTTCATATTTTCTGTACAGCATTCACAATAAGATAAATAACAACTGTAACACAGTAATTTTTTAGTAGAATAGTAATATATAAGTACAGTATTTAATATGGTAATGCAGTTTTATTGTTTACAAGAAAAAAAAGACACTGACACAAATGCCTCTTGAAGGTCACCTCCTGCAACGAATCCAACGCTCCAATGCACTGGGGTTGGTCCCATATAGTGCACTGAATCGAGGTTGTACTGTATTTACATATATCCATTTTTTTTTGGAAGGAGCTCCATTCCCTTCGCTGTTGACGGGGCACTGGGGGGGGGGGGGGCAGCTTGCTCTGTTGGCTCTCGCTTGGTCCCGCAGTTCGTGGGCATTTTTTGGTTGTCATCCATTATGCTTAGCTTTTCAGGCAAGCCTTATTGTTAAGAAGGAAAATGTACAAATAACAATTATATAGTAATGAAATGTGTTCTTATTGCAGCTTACAGTTTTTGTTGTAATTATAAGTTTTTATTATTTTACTATTATTTTAATTAAAGTATATGTTGCTCACTTGTTCTTTTATCAATTAAATATAAAGCTAAGCTAATTAAACAAATACATACACTCTACTAAAATAATGTATATGACTTCTGCAGATGATGAGCTGTATGTGATGGTTGCTTATGCAAGCCAGAAAGGTTAGCTTTGCCTCTGCTTTCTTGCTTTATTGTTCATGTTCCACACACATCAATAAATGTATGTACAATATATAAGTGCATGTATATAGATGCTAAGACTTGCTGCTTGTGCTTCCTGCAAACTGTCTTGTAGCTGTATATATTATTTCAAGAACAAGCCGAGTTATTTTATGAAATTTTACCAAGCCCCTTTCTTTATATTAATATTATAATATATGAAGATAATTTTCTTTGCTTCATGTGCAGAATTTGATGTGGATGTGTTGATCCAGAATGGGCAGTTTTATGAAGGGTCTTTAACGGTGCATCACTGTCCCAGCACCTCTGGCTGCCGTGCGCTCATTAAGCACCCAGATGGATCCTTCGTCTTTGATATTTTAGAAAACTTTGTCCTTTCACTTAAGGTAATGGTATACTTTCATATTATTATATACATTGTAATTATTATATAAATTGTAAAAATGTTAAAGAATACATACATATATATATATATATATATATATATATATATATATATATATATATATATATATATATATATATATATATATATCATATCATATCATATCATATCATATCATATCATATCATAGTAGTAAATCTTCTTTTCCAATGTACTGTGCAGAATGCATGATCTTTTCTAATGATGTATGTGTTGAAAATATATATATTTTGGTCCATGTATATAACAGGTTCACACATTGAATTTTATTATTTATACTTTTAGGAACCAAATCATAAATCAATATGGGTGGATTACGTTTTAGTGGTACCAGCTCAACAGTTTTCTCAAGAAATTATGCACGAACTACCAATTGATATGACTGCAGAGTTTATTAAGTCGTGCGGAGAAGATAACTTCAATATTGAGGCTAATGCTACAGGTTTGAATAGTTTAAGTTTCTACTTTAACCCTTAACATGCTCGGGGTCTAATATCCTGCCATCCCCACAGGCGCATGTCATTTTGAAAAAAAAAAAATTATTATTTCTTTCTAACCTGTTAATTTGTGTTCACTGATCACGGGAAAAATAATAAAAAAATCGTAAGTGGCATATATTGCCCGCTATAGGGCGGGGAAGTCTGGCAAAGTATAGGCGCTGACTCAGCGTGCGTCCCAGGCGGTCTGTTGCTCGCAAGCTGTCAGGCCAGAGTTGCCACAAAGAGATAATTACCGAATTATTTCAATGTCTCTGATTGATTTTTCATACTTTTTTTGCTGTAATATTATTCAATAGTGTGTAGTTTGATATATTTATATAATAAAATGAGTGAATCGTTGGTGTACTCAAAAATATGGTGTGCATATTGTTGATTCAATTATGTTCATCAGTCAGTGAACAAATACTTTGTTGGTTATTACACTATAAGCACAGGTTATATATAAGTATTTGCATGTTTTGTTCACTATAACGAACCACTAAGTAGCTATTATGAGTCAAAAAGTAACGAGGAGTGACCGCCGTGTACCAGCCAGCCACTCCTGCCCTCCTTCCAGTCATCTGACTCACCCTCATTCTCCTCCCACAATAATGTTTTTGCTATAATTCACTATATACAGACATTATATATAAGTATCTTAATGTTTTGTTCACCATAACTGTACATCTAAGCTTGTATGGTAAGTAAAGGCACAGAGATGTGGCTACTCACACAGTCAGCTGATCGGCGGCCGCCCGCAAGGTCAGACGCATTAATATTTCTCCTCCAACAATACTGTGTGGTGTTATTACGCTATATATCCTATATACAGACGTTATATATAAGTATCTACATGTTTTGTTCACCATAACTGTACATCTAAGCTTGTATGGTGAGTAAAGGCACAGAGATGTGGCTACTCACACAGTCAGCTGATCGGCGGCCGCTCTCAAGGCCAGACGCACTAATATTTCTCCTCCAACAATACTGTGTGGTGTTATTACGCTATATACACACATTATATATAAATATCTACTTGTTTTATTCATCATACTTGTACAAATAAACTGGTATGGTGCCCAAAGACCATCGTGGTAACCAGTAAACAACACCGTCGTCTGCACGGTGGTGTCGTGCAGACGACGCCACCGCTCTCACCAAAATGGCGGCTCCAAACCTTCTCTTGCTGTTTATACCCTCTATACGCACGTTATATATAAGTATCTACATTTGTGTTCACCATGGCGAACCACTAAGCTGGTATGGTGAGTGCAGTCAATAAAAGGTGGCCACACACAGTCAAAAGACATTGCCAGCACCCTCCCTCCCACAGCATTACACCTCCTTCCGTGGCGCACAGCGCTAAATATCACCACAATCCTGCTATTATCAGAACCCTGGTCAGTTTTATCACAGTCAGGGTCTTCTGTAATAATATCATCGCTACATAATAGCATGAACAAATATAATTTGGCATTTTTAGGCGATGCTGTGGTCACAAGCTGAACAGCAGTGCTGTTAGCTCATGCTGCGTGCGTCAGGCTTGGTTGCTCACTCAATACTGAGGCAATAACACCCGGGAGTTTGGCCCACGATTTTTTTTAAAAATGGCGTCTGTTTACAAGAGCCCTGATGAAGGTGTGGTGAACCCTGTGTATCCGCGGGCTGTTTAAATCTTGCGTAGTACTCCAACACATCATATGACGTGATGCGCAGTTTACTGGTACAACGTCCAGCACGTCATATGACGTGATGCACACTTTAAGGGTTAAATAAGTGAGCACTTTGCCTCTGACACTGCAGAACAGGCTGCTAAGGTTAATATATCTTACTGGATAAAATAGTAATAAATGTGAATACAGTGGGATCGTGTTCAGTCAAACCTCGTGTTAACAGAAACTTGATATACAGGAAGGTTCAGTACCAGTAGCTGAACAGACAACCTTTTGGTTAAATGAGGTTAGCACGACCAAAAGAGAGCTGCAGAGCAGTGAAATTAAATAAAGTTAAAATAACTTTTTTTGTATTAAAGGTGTTTTTAATATCATTTAACACTTTCGCGCTCTCCGCAAAGGTCACTCAGCCAACCGAATGTGCGCGCTGCGTTTTTATCGCTTAAGCGTAAAAACAAAAATGTGTATACTCTTTTTACTCTTCTGACCTTAGTTCTCATGCTATGTATTTCATTTTGGTACCAACGTGTTCGCAATAAAATTTTCTAGAAGAACATCAGTAAAAAAAGTCACGAAACGTATAGGGATACCAGCACCAAATAAATAACTACGAAGATGACTCGCCGTGAGCGCCCATCAGCAACAAAATGTTTTTACTCTTGGGATTGTAATCACCTCCACACTTGTTCTACAGCGTTAATTTTGGTATCAATGGATTCGCAATGAAATTCCCAATACGGTGATATGAATATAAGCGTAGAATAATGATTGCGGCCCGCCCGCAAGAGTGTGGGAACTGGTGAAATTGTTACCCGGTATCGGTGACGGGACGACGCACGGCGCTTTGAAAGTTTATACTTATTTCACTCTCATGACATTAATTTTCTATGTACGTCATTCATTTTTGCGTCAATGTGTTCGCAATAGAATGTTCTATGTGCCCATAGGTAAAAAATATCAACAAAGCGTAAGTTAGAATAGCGCCAAATATAAAACAACGCTGGAACATATCAGTGAGCGTCAAACACACACGAAATGTTTTTACTTTTGTTATGTTTGTCAAGTTTATACTTGATGCACACAGTTATTTTTGGTTGTATATTGATCGGAATAAAATTCCCTAAACAGACATATGCATATAATACATGATATGGGGGAAGCATTACCAGTATAAACGGCTAAAGTCACCCACCTGCAACCCGTTTGGGACAAAATACCATTTGATCGAAGTTATCCACACCTTTCATGAACTTATTGTACCATGCAGCCTAGTGGTGAGAAAGAGAGCCTCATAGCGCGCAGTTTAAAACAAACCCAAAGTAAATCGGATAAAAATTGAATTTTATACAAATATTTTAATAGTTGACATAACTTTATGTCCACTATGCGTTTACGTTAGACAAAACCGGACGCGCCGGCGCGTTCAGATAGCGCGAAAGTGTTAATGTCAAAAATGTCAAAAATATGTTGCATCGTTCTCAATAATCAACATAGTAATTGTGGCCCAAAATTACCAAAAGCCCATAAATGTTATTGATAATGAACCCAACAGTATGATACTAAAAATTAAGGCAAACTAATCTAAGGAACAAAAGAAGTGGTGGTGAACCTATTTTCCATTTATAACATCGTGTTTTTATATAAATAGTATTAATTTTTAGCACATTTAACCCTTGGACCGCGCAATACATATATAGACGATGGGAGTAACTTTACCGAAACTGCGCAATACATATATAGACGATTGAGGCTCTAGCACATGAATTTAAATGCCCCGCAAGGGATAGGGGCAACAATAGTCCAGCCAAAACCGATAATTATCAGACGCCACCTACAAAAAAAATCGTGTGCAACATTTCCGGGTGTGAGAGCCTCAGTACTGAGTGAGCCACCATGGCTGGTGCATGCAGCATGAGCTCACAGCAACGCTGTTCACCTTGTGACCACAGCATCGCCTAAAAATGTCAAAATATATATGTACATGCTATTATTTAGTGATGATAGTATTACAGAAGACCCCCTGACTGCGATAAAACTGACCAGGATTCTGATAATAGCAGAATTGTGGTGATATTTTAAGCCGTCCTCTTAAAAATAACGTCGCTTTTTGCTCGTATGCACGCTATGGCCAAAAATGGACATAATTTTAAATGAAATCGGGTCACAAAAGTGATGTACTTGCCCGTTTTCTGTTTGAGTCCTCTGGCTTACTTGGAAAGGTTAGGAAAGGAAACTTTCAAATAAAATTTTTCATGACGTTCAGAAACTTAACCACTTAACTGCGCCAACCAAGTATTCTCGGTCTGCGGGAAACTGAGCCAACCAAGAAAACTTTTATTTTTTTATTTTTTGATACCCATTCTAAATGTGTACGAGGTTGCTTGTGTACGAAATGGACTCTTAGGACCTCCAGTGAGAGGCAGCCATCTTGGAAAAAATTCCCAGAATGCCCTAGGGCTGCTGGCTGGGTTAGTTCTGAGTGAGCAACCATGGGTGGTGCACACGCCTCTGGCTCCCAAACACCTGTCCGACATGGAGTTGAAAGATAACACTCTGTCGGTGAAATTCAAACCTTATTGTTTGAAGAACATAAGGGTCATAATATTGGTGAAGCTAGGCGCAATAAGGACCTAACACAAAGGTTGGATGCAAATGATACAGCGCCTATGAGGACAATACAGCGAGCTTATCCACCACTGCAAGTATTGGACCTATTCGCACAAGTGAAGGTTCATACACGGAGGATGACAAAGAAATTAGTGAAATCCTAGAAAAGCAGTATGAGGACATGTTTAGCACTCCAATAAACAACATGAAAGTGGAAGATCCAGACAATTTCTTTATGCAGGATATTCAAACCCCTGTAAATATAACTGATATCAACACGAGCGCACTAAATTTTGAAAGAGAAATTTAAAACATGCCCATGCACTCGGCCCCAGGTCCAGACTCATGGAATTCAATATTTATAAAGAAATGCAAAGTGCCGGTAGCACAGGCACTCAGTATAGTGTGGAAGAAGAGCTTGGACACGGGGGAGATACTAGATGCACTTAAAGTAGCAGACATAGCCCCTCTACACAAGGGAGGGACCAAAGCATTGGCAAAGAATTATAGATCAGTTGCACTAACATCGCACATCATAAAAGTATTTGAGAGAGTGATTAGGAGTCAGGTCACCAATTTCATGGAGACCAATGACCTTCACAACCCAGGCCAACATGGATTTTGAGCAGGAAGATCGTGCCTCTCACAGCTACTTGAGCACTACGACAAAGTCACTGAGGCATTAGAAGAAAAACAGAATGCTGATGTGATATACACGGACTTCGCAAAGGCTTTCGATAAATGTGACCATGGCGTGATAGCACACAAAATGAAGTCAAAGGGAATAACTGGTAAAGTAGTATGCTGGATACTCAGTTCTCTGTCAAACAGGACTCAGCGAGTAATGGTCAACCATATAAAATCTAGTCCAAGTGCAGTTAAAAGCTCTGTACCTCAGGGTACAGTCCTTGCACTGCTGCTTTTCCTTATTCTCATATCAGATATAGACAAAAATACAAGTAACAGCTTCGTATCATCCTTTGCAGATGACACAAAAATCAGTATGAAAATTATCTCGGCTGAAGACACTGAAAAACTTCAAGCCGATATTAATAAAGTTTTTGACTGGGCATCAGAAAATAACATGATGTTTAACAGTGATAAATTCCAGGTACTCGGGTACGGTAAAAATGAGGACCTTAAACACGATTACGAGAACTTTCAAATCTAGGGATCCCATCTCAATGGTCCCATCCCTTCAGAGCAGGAGAGATTGCTGAAATAGAGGGAATAAAGAGAACATATATGGCACGCATAGATGCAATAAAGCACCTAAATTATTGGGATTGTCTCAAAGCCCTCCAAATGTACTCACTAGAAAGAAGACGAGAGAGATATCAAATAATATACACCTGGAAGATACTGGAGGGCCAAGTACCAAATCTACACAGTAAAATAACAACGTACTGGAGTGAACGATATGGAAGAAAATGCAGAATAGAACCAGTGAAGAGCAGAGGTGTCATAGGCACAATCAGAGAACAAGTGATAAGAATGACATATGATGATCAGTTGGCATTTGATTTAAGTTTGGGAGTATAGTTCACTGAAACAAAATTGTCAATGTGGTCCTCTAAATATGCGGGAAATTTAGATGTAAAACCTTATAACCCCAAATGTTATGGGCTTATGAATAAATATCCAACACCACATTTAAAACAAAGAACTTTGCATATAATATGTGAAAATGGTTAGAATCAAACAGAATATTTAATTGTTTGTAGGGTCTCAAGATTGAAAATGTTGTTTTTAGAGAAAATTGAAGTGAAGTTCACGACAATGAATATGGCTGTTCTACATTATGGATATCCTTGTAAGTTTAATAAACATTGCTTGGCATTTGTATTCAAATATGAGAGAGTCTTAGGTCAATATGTGTTGAAATGAAATCAATAAAAAATAACCCCCCTCCAAAAAAACAAAATATATGGATAAAGATAATGGGTTAGGGATAACAAACATATATAATTCCGTAATATATTGCCCATATATAAGTGATAAGGCCCTCATCTGGTCCCCATTCAGCAAAGCCATCTAAAGGGTCAAAGAGAATAGTTTTAAATCTGTAAATAACTCACATAAAAAACAGAAAGTCACAAGTAAGATTATTTTTCATATTCCGACCTCCTTAAAATCATTTTTGATGTCCAATTTGATCAGAGCATTTTGGTCAGAGGTGTTGGCAATGGACGCTCGTGGTGCATAGGATGCTGCATCACAACCTTGTGGGATCCCAAATCCAAGCTAATTTGGTTTCAGCAATTCAGAACTTGCTGGCTGACAATCCTTGTGGCAGGCTTGGCAATCAGGTATTGGAGTGTTGCCAACTGATTTTCCCATTGAGCTGATTCCCCCATTCTTCTTATTAAGTGCACAGAGGGGAAGCACAAAAAAACTGGGGTGTGATGACCTCAGGTATACCACCAGCCAGGCACATGTTGATGAACCTTGTGGGTTCCTAAAGAAGACCTTGTGCAGCATTACTTGCGATTATTGTAGTTCACAACAACTGTTAGCTTCTATTTATTAATTTTATTTGTATCCTTCAATAAGAAAACCTATTACAAACCGTTTTTGTTTCTGTTCAGGTTTCTGCAAAGATGCAGCATTTGAACTGACAATGGAATACAACAGTGGAGCCTTACCTTGCCAGTGTGACTTTTATGGATCTGCCAGCTTTGAATGTCAGAGTTTTGGTGGACAGTGCCCATGTCATCCAAATGTTATTGGTCGCAGATGCAATCGTTGCAAGACTGGATTCTTTGGCTTTCCTGCCTGTCAACCTTGTAACTGCCCCTCTACAGCACTCTGTGATCCCATTACTGGTTTGTATATGTTGTTCTAATTGTTTTTATTCACTTTATAATGAATTTGGATGCAAACAAATAATTAATGTATAGTATGGTTTGTAAATGCTGTACTGTTTTTATTTGCTTTACTATTCATGTGAATGCAAATAAATAATTAATGTATAACATGTATAGAAGAAAAGGTTAGAAGATAAAGTCACAGTAATATGGCTGCAGCAAATAAGCTCTATATCCACACAGTTGACAGGAAAGGTGTATCTATAATGTGGGTTTAGTGTATTTAAGAAAAGTATTACATGGGCACCTTCAGTATTCTGATAATATTGTACTGAACTCATTCCAGATTTGCATTAAATCTGGATTTCCTTAATTTTTTGGCTATTTATTACCATATTCTCTGCATTTTTATTACAGCATTTATATTATTGCTAGTGACTATATATATTCTAATCTATTCTCGGTATATTCTGTTCTAATATATTCTAGGTTGGTGCTAATCTTGCCAGAAAAATCCCACAGACTCAGACACATACTAACACATATCTCTCAGGCAGCTATCCAAACTCTCTTCTCCTTTCACCAGTCAGCCCGGCAGATGAACACAAATGTGAACAAGCCTGAATAGTCCCCAGGCATATATGCAACTGAAAACTCACACCCCAGAAGTGACTCGAACCCATACTGCCAGGAGCACTCTGTGACTGGTGTACAGGACCTCTTAACCACTCGACTATCACGACATGACAAAAGATGATGGTAGCTAACGCTAATACCCCATCATCCCGCCGGCACCCTGATGGTAATCTTGGGCATGGTATTTTATCAAATCACCTCATTTTTTTGGGCACACATGAGGAACACAAATGTGAACAAGCATGAATGGTCCCCAAGCATTTATGCAACTGAAAACTCGCACCCCAACATCAGAGGTCCGTGGCTGTTCAACGTCCTCCCAGTGACTATAAGAAATATTGCCGGAACAACCGTGGACATCTTCAAGAGGAAACTGGACGGTTTTCTAAGAGAAGTTCCAGATCAGCCGGGCTGTGGTGGGTATGTGGCCCTGCGGGCCGCTGAAAGCAACAGCCTGGTGGACCAGACTCTCACAAGTCGAGCCTGGCCTTGGGCCGGGCTTGGGGAATAGAAGAACTCCCAGAACCTCATCAACCAGGTATCAACCTGGTATCAACCAGTGACTCGAACCCATACTGCCAGGAGCACTCTGCAACTGGTGTACCGGACCCCTTAACCACTCGACCATCACGACCGGACAAAAGATAATGAGAGCCGAGGTTAATTCCCCATCATGTCCACAAGCCGCTGACTGGTGGGCAGAGAGCACCGCTCTGCCAGACGAAGAAGGCACCAAGAAAGCACAAAAACCGCACCAAAAGACCCACCTCGACAACAAAAACCAAGGCCTCGGCACGACCACAACACGTGCGAAGACCCAAAGATATCAACCTGCAAGCCAGGAAGACCCTGGAACCCCAGAAGGCAGAACCGGGTCACACACGGGGTAATGTAAAGCCCCCGAACACACAAAGTGGAGCCCACGAGGAAGAAACCAAAGAACCCAAAGGAACCCAGAACCCAACCCTGGGGAGCCTAAACCACCATATTTGCAGATGGAAATACACAACAGAAAGGGCAAGGCACAGCACCTAGACAGAACCCTCAGGGAAACGGTCAAAATGAACTGAAAACTGAGGGACACAAGGTGTGGGAGCAAGCATAAACAGAAAGGGTCACTGAGCCCAAACCCCAGGGCCCAGACCCAAACAGACAGAAAATGCAAAAACCGGTGTAAAAACCAACACCCAAGTGTTCCCAGAGGAACAGAAGAAGGGCAGAACATCCCAGAAAAAGCAAAGAAATGGCAACAGGAGGATAAAACCCCCTGAAGGAGGTGAAAAACTCACCCAAAATGCAAGCTCACACACCCAGGCATAGGTAAACAAACTGCAGCTCCCCCCTGGTGGCCAAGCAAGGAAGTAATCCCCAGAAAGAAAATGGCCACCAGAACAAGGAGCCGTGACCGACGCAATAGATCCGAAAACACGCCAGCAAATGTGGGATGTAAGCAGACGAGAGGGACAAAAAAAAAACGCCCAAAAGCAGGAAACAGGTAGGGGCAAACAGCCCCAGAACTGCTAGCGGGCATCCCCCACAGCCCAGGGAACATGCAACAGATGGCCCCAGGCAAAGTCGTCCTCCACACCCTCTGACCTTAAAGAAAAGGAAGAGTCCAGAGGAAAGGCAGCAAAGAAAGGGCCGCTGGTAAGACTCAGATGCCTCGGCAGGAGGATCAGGCCTGAAAACCTCCGTCCCCAGCCCGAATTGGGCAGCCCCCAAAGCCGCCTGAGTCTCGGCACCAACTAAACCCCGCCCAGACCCCGAAACCCGCAGACAATCAGGAGCCGGGAACAGGGAGGGGAAAGGGGCAAACAACATCTAACCAAAACTGGGTGGCCCAGGGGCATCCAGGTGGGAAACCAACCTAGCGCATTACAGCAACCTAAACCAAGCTTGCAAAGGGACACCGCCTGTACTCTGAACAGTTAGGACATCAGAAGAGTACTGGAGAACAAGCAGAGAACACAACTCGCAAGACTCTGTGTCAAGGTGTCAGTGACCCAACAGGCAACATGACGGAGGTAAAAGAGGCGTCTGTCATCCTGAGTTCGTTGGTTGCTGTGCAACCAACAAACCCGCACAAGATGGGTTGGAACACAGAAGACATATCCAGTGGTCCACCGAGCCCCGACAAGGTTTTCCAGGGCCTGTAGGTTGACTGCTACGGGAAGCCCAGGCAAGGTGTCGCTAAATGGTTAACACCCAATGCTAACAGAGGGTAGATGCTAACACTGAAAACCCCTGCAACATGTACGATCAAAGGGGCCTAGCAGAGGGCCAGCAAACACTACCAGTGGAACTATAGACATACTAGGCAGACCCCCACCAGACAAATGAAAATAAAAACAAAAGAAATACCTCGCAAAAGTACACCGTCCCCAGAGGCAACAGGAACTGGTCGCCGCATAGGTAGCAGGTCGCGCAACAACTTTACGCCCTAACCAGCACAATACTAGTCCCTACCGAAGGCCAAACAAGGGCCCCAAGCCCCAGCTGGCCCCAAGGGTGAGGCAAATGTTGAGCAGCAAGAACTTCTATGGGAATGGTTCCCCAATGCCCCAGGGAAGATTTTCCTGTTGGGAGCCACTTAGTAGCATGTCTTTGCACCTTTTCCAGTTTGTTGATGTGCTTCTTAAGATATGGGCACCACACAACAGCTGCATATTCTAGCTTTGGCCTAACAAAAGTCATGAACAATTTCTTTAGTATATCGCCATCCATGTATTTAAATGCAATTCTGAAGTTAGAAAGCATAGCATAGGCTCCTTGCACAATATTCTTTATGTGGTCCTCAGGTGATAGTTTTCTATCTAGAACCACTCCTAGATCTCTTTCTTTATCAGAATTCTTTAAAGATTTCTCACATAATATATAGGTTGTGTGGGGTCTATGTTCTCCTATTCCACATTCCATAACATGACATTTATTAACATTAAATTCCATTTGCCAAGTGGTGCTCCATATACTTATTTTGTCCAGGTCTTCTTGAAGGGCATGACAGTCATCTAAATTTCTTATCCTTCCTATTATCTTAGCATCATCAGCAAACATGTTCATATAATTCTGTATACCAACTGTGTCATGCAGGGGCAGTGTTCACAGGGTGCTTAGGGAAGGAAGCCCCTAAGTGCATGCAGGCAATGCACTGATGAGGAACACCTGGCTACTGCACAACACAAAACACGGCAGTGAGCACCACGAAGGCAAACACTGCCTAGGAAACTGAGGCCAGAGAAGCATCTGTCCCGGTTGACATTAGCTTACAAACTGGAGTGCTATTCAGCCAGCGCGGTGAGGTCTGGGGGGGCCCCCCTCCCACTCTCGGGGAGGGGAGGGATGCACAGACGAGCGGCGCTGCAGTAGTGCGTTTCATTTGCTTGTTTACTTATTTCCTTGGGATTGTAAGGAGTTCTACCTCTCTGTTCGTTTTTTGTTGTTAGTTTCTTACCATGTGGGGTTTGTTTTGTCATGTCTACCTTTCTGGGTGCCTAACCCCGGTCGATGGCAGATAAGGAAAACTCCCCAACCACAGGGGGGGGGGGGGTTAAAGGGCCATTGCTCCCTGAAACGTCTCTGAAGGGGCCAGGTTCTGGCTCTTGGTCCCTGGTAGGTCTGAACTCTGTAGCTAATGTCCCGGTCTAATATAACATGCATTAGCCCGATAAGCTCCAGGGATCTGTAGGGACTCCCCTCAGAAAAGCCAGATTACCATAAATAAGAAAAATACAATATAATGGAAGCAATTATATCGGATGAAGTGACAGTCCACTTTTAACTGCATCCACTCTCTACATCCCATGTGAAAGCAACCATTCCTTTCTGAGATAGTTACATTCTAAAAAAATAACCCACTAAGGAGTGTGTGCATTAATGCTAGAAAAAGGAGCCGGTCGTCCAAGTGGACAGCACGCTGGGTTTGTGATCCTGTGGTCCTGGGTTCAATCCCAGGCACCGGCGAGAAACAATGGGCAGAGTTTCTTTCACCCTATGCCCCTGTTACCTAGCAGTAAAATAGGTACCTGGGTGTTAGTCAGTTGTCATGGGCTGCTTCCTGGGGGTGGAGGCCTGGTCGAGGACCGGGCCACGGGGACACTAAAAAGCCCTGAAATCATCTCAAGATAACCTCAAGATAACCTCAAGAAGATAGTAGTGAGTGCTCTAACAAGTACATGCCAAGTGTTGTTAAGGCCTTTGTCAACCTTGCTCTCACACATAAGCTACTTGTAATATTATACTAAGAGTCACTGCTGATTTTTGCAGAAACTGTTGTGTATATTATTTGCTACAAATTCACTGCTAAACATATTAATTAATGGTGTCCTTTCTTCCCAGGTGAATGTATTTGCCCACCTCGTGTTGAGGGGGATCGTTGTGAACGTTGTGCACCTTATACTTATGGGTTTGATCCTATTATTGGGTGTGAGGAATGCCAGTGCTCATCACTTGGTGTCCAGGCTGGTAATCTACAGTGTGACTTGCATACTGGACACTGTAATTGCAAGGACTCCATTGTTGGCAGAAGGTAAAGAGTCTGACTTCATTACAAAACACTTTTCTTTCTGCAAAATTTGCAAGAAGGCTTTCTCATTATATAAAAATAGGTTTCATTTAGAGTAGATTCATCTGTTTGTAAGCAATAATAAAAATTTGACTACTCATCTTAAATAGAAGTCTCTTGATACATATGTGTGAAGAGACTTATAGGCCAGTATTATTCATTGGCTGAAAACACAATACAGCAGTCAAATGCATTATACTTTGCTTGAATAGTTTTGTAAATTTCTGGTAATAATTGTATAGTACAGTGGTACCTCGCATAACGAATTTAATCCGTTCCATGTTCGTCATGTGAAACGGACGTCATACAAAACGAGTGTCCCCCATGTAACCAGTGTGATGCACTGTGTTTATTGTGAAATTCCCCCAGAGCGCATGACATCAAATGTTCCCCAAAATATCATTTTTCTTTGCAAAATGATAAATTACCATCCCTGAACATGTCTATGTAAAAATAATTACCAAATTCCACTTACTTTGGCTGTGAGGGCGTGGACAAGGTGCGCTGTGACGTCATCAGGGGCTGGTCGTCCGTGTGTGAAGCTCCCAGAAACGGTCGCGCAGGCCATTCAAGCACCGCGTGTTGCCACAAATATATTTTCAAATATTTTTTCTATGCATTTCCAATGCGGTTCTATTTGTTTCTTTTATCGTATATGATGCATATTTGTGACCTTTACAATATGTATACAGTAGAATGTTCATAATTTTCCATGGAACTGTGATACATGTGTCAGTAATGTGTCCACAATAAATGTTTATTGTCACAATATTACATGGTAAAAATTCACTAAAATTACAATATGTACAGTTTCACATACTATTTACACAGTAACACACTGTATTACACACTCAGTACTTTGGAGGTGCGTAATAGTCAACGAAGTAGTCCATGGTACACAGTGCGACTTTGCTCTCCTTGCACCAGCTACAGATAGATTTTTGTTTCCTGTTTCATCGTTCTGTGTGCTTGCAAATAACGCACTCGTGTGCACCCTTGGCTTTAGTACTTATAGGTGGTATGTAGCCAAGCTTGTAAAGCATACGGTAGTATTGAAACGATTATAGGAAAAGCTCTATTTGTAAGGTAGTCTTGAAAAGATCGCTTTGTAAGGTCCCACACAGGAAGAGATTCAGCTAGCCTCAAAGAGTGTCCATCAGTCAGGAAGAGATTCAGCTAGCCTCAAAGAGTGTCCATCAGTCAGGAAGAGATTCAGGTATTCTTGAAAACATCAATGAACAACACCACCATGGAAGCCGCTAACACTGTTCATCTATGCTACTTGTATCAGATGCATCATCACTAAACACAGAAAACGATTCATCTATGTATCATCTATATAAATTCGAGATGGCAAGGGTGGGGCTCAGAGCTACACCTGGATACGCTCGCTGTATCATCCTCATAGGTGCTGTATCACTGGCATCCGACCAATGTGTTAAGCCTTTATTGCGCCTAGCTTCACCAATGTTATGACCCTTATGTTCTTCAAACAATAGGGTCTGAATTGCACCGATTGAGCACAGTCTTTCAACACCGTGTGGGACAGGTGTTTGAGAGCCAGAGGCGCGTGTGCCACAAATGGTTGCTCACGCAGTACTAACCCAGCCAGCAGCCCTTGTCTTTCATATTCGTTATAGCAAAAGGTTCTTTCAGTGTTTGTTGGGTAGGCTGCTCCATTATGACAATCTTTCTTTGTTTCAAATGTATTCCATTTGTTTTGTGTTTGTCACTTACATCTCAATAATGGAGCAGCCTACCCGACAAACACTGAACGAACCTTTATGGCATTTGTTCATTTTTCAAATTGTTTCAACAGTTCTTTTATTTTTCGTTTTTTTTTTAAGAAACATGGAGCAGCCGACCTGTAGACCACCGAACGAACCTTTTTGACATTTGTACTGGTTTTCAAAATTCTTCATTTTTTTATTATTTACGTTTTTTGTTTGTAAGAAACATGGAGCAGCCTACCTGCCGACCACCGAACGAACCTTTTGCTATAAGACAAATGAAAAATAAATATTGAACACATTTGAAGAAAGGAAAATGTCATAATGGTTTATTCAGTGTATGTAAGGTAGGCTTCTCCATTATTGAGATGTAAATGACAAATACAAAACAAATGGAACACATTTGAAACAAAGAAAGATTGTTATAATGGAGCAGCCTACCTGCCAAAAACCGAATGAACCTTTTTGACATTTGTTGTATATCAGACATTTCATTTCTTTTTTCCTACAAAAACGTCAATGCTTTGCAACATCTCAGCAGGGACCCTTTTATATCCCAGCATCATTAGCATCTTTAAACAAGAACAACATAATTTATGTGCATCGTCGAAGGCTTCTAAGAATGTGCAAGAAGCAGCGTGACCCCACCATGTGGTGTTGACGTTACTCAAACCAGCGTTCATCATACGGGACGATTTGACGCCGATCGGGCCGTTCGTTACCCAAAATGTTCATCTTTTGGGGCGATCATTATGCGAGGTACCACTGTATTTTAATATGAAAGTTCTTAAATTGAATGTACTTTATACATTTAAAAATGAACGTCTGTGTGAAATTAATTACCTAAGTAATTACCTAAGTGTAGTTACAGGATGAAAGCTGCGCTTATGGTGTCCTGTCTTCCCAGCACTCTTTGTCATATAATGCTTTGAAACTACTGACAGTTTTGGCCTCCACCACCACCTCACTTAGCTTGTTCCAACCGTCTACCACTCTGTTTGCAAAAGAAAATTTTCTAATGTTTTTGCAACACCTTTGTTTCCTTAGCTTCAGTCTATGTCCTCTTGTTCTTGACGTTCCAGGTCTCAGAAAGTCTTCCCTCTCAATTTTATCAATTCCTGTTATTATTTTGTACGTAGTGATCATATTGCCTCTTTTTCTTTTATCTTCTAGTTTTGGCATGTTTAACACCTCTAACCTCTCTTTGTAGCTCTTCTTTTTCATTTCTGGGAGCCACTCAGTGGTATGTCTTTGCACCTTTTCCAGTTTGTTGTTGTGCTTCTTAATATGGGCACTATACAACTGCTTCATACTCTAGCTTTGGTCTAACAAAACTCGTGAACAATTTCTTTAGTATTTCACCATCCATGTATTTAAAAGCAATTATGAAGTTAGAAAGCATAGCATAGGCTATAAAAGTACAAAATAAAACAAAAAGAAAAAAAACCTAAACAAGACTGTGGCAGACAAGCAGACTTGAAGAAACATCAGCATGCCCATAAACACCTATGCAGGCTGAGCAACTGCTGTGTGCTCCAACAACCAAAAATGCCCCTCAAACCCCCGGCAAGACAGAAAGCCAAAGACCTCTGGCTTCCTTTAACCCTTAAAAGTTGCATATTGGGGGCCCGGAAGCGAAAAATATTTGAATTATGTAAAAATAACTTAAAAATTTTAAACAAATCTCCAACTTATAAATGTCAATGTCGTGAAACTCTCATCAAAATATTTTCAGAAATTGATTTTAAACAATTTTTTTCTATGGGGAGTGCCTACGGCTCCCTGGAGCTTATCGGGCTAATGTATGTTATATTAGACCTGGACATTAGCTAAGGAGTTCAGACCTACCAGGGACCAGTGCCAGAACCTGGCCTTTCAGAGAGGTTTCAGGGAGCAATGGCCCAGGAAAACCCCCTTGTGGTTGAGGTTTTCCTTATCTGCCATCGACTGGGGTTAGGCACCCAGAAAGGTAGGCATAACAAAACAAACCCCACATGGTAAAAAACTAAAACAAAAAAACGAACAGAGAGGTAGAAACTCCCTACAATCCCAAAGAAACAAGTAAACAAGCAAACATCACACTTTACTGCCGCGCCGATCGTCCTCGCAGCCCTCCCTGCCCCGAGAGGGGGAGGGGGGGAGCCCCGAACCTCACTGCGCCAGATGCCTAGCATCAGTTCGTAAGCTAATGTCAACCGGGATAGACCCTTCTCTGGCCTCAGTTTCCTAGGTAGTGTTTGCCTTGTGTGGAGTCCACTGCCGTGTGTTGTGTTGTGTGCGGCCAGGTGTTTCTCATCAGTACCAGGGCTGCATGCGCTTAGGGGCTTCCTTTCCTAAGCGCCCTGTGAGTACTACCCTGCGTGACAGGGTTATCTTCCCTGAGGCGTTCGGGAACCATTCACATAGTTTCTTGCTGCTCGGCATTTGTCTCGCCCTTGGGGCCAGCTGGGGCTTGGGGCCCTTGTTTGGCCCTTTATAGGGACTGGTATTGTGCTGGTTAGGGCATCAAGGTGTTGCGCGACCTGCCACCTAAGCGGCGATCGGTTCCTGTTGCCTCTGGAGACGATGTACTTTTGCAGGGGTTTTCTTTTGTTTTTATTTTCATTTGCCTGGTTGAGGTCTGCCCAGTGTGGCTATAGTTCCACTGGTAGTGTTTGGTGGCCCTCTGCTAGGCCCCCATGATTGTACACGTCACAGGGGTTTTCAGTGTTGTCCTCTACCCCCTTGTTATTTTGGGTTTCTTAACCGGTTAGCAACACCTTGCCCGGGCTTCCCGTAGTTGTTACCCTACGGGCCCTGGAAACAACTGTCAGGGTTAGGTGAACCATTGAATTTGTCTTCCGGTTTCCAACCTGTCTTGTACGGGATCGTTGGTTGCTGTGCTCTTGTCTCCGGGTGATAGTCGCCACTTTTATCTCTGCCATGCTGCCTGTTGGGTCACTGACACTTTGACCCGGAATCTTGCGAGAGATATTCTCTGCTTGTTCTCCAGTACTCAACTGATTTTATTACTGTTCAGAGTACAGGCTGCATCCGTGTTGCAAGCTAGGTTAGGTTGCTGCAACACACTAGGTTGGTTTTCCACTCGGATGCCTTGGGGGCCGCCCCGTTTTGGTTAGGTGCTGTTCACCCCTTTCCTTCCCTGTTCCCGGCTCCTAACTGTCTACGGGTTTCGGGGTCAGGGCGGGGTTTAGTTGGGGCCGAGTCTCGGGCGGTTTTGGGGGGGGCTGCCCC